CACGAAACGTTTTCCTAGACTTGGATACAATACTGTACTTGGGTACTGAAAAACGTTACGGCGAGTTCATGGGGAGGGGGGGCGCAATAATCTCCAAAAGTTGCGTTACATAATAATTGAACGGTGCCTTAAAGTAGATTATCGTTGTAGTAACAAATAAACTTTGCGACGTTCCTAGGAATAAACAAAACTTATAAGGTAAGTTACAATTTTAACTTTGTTTCTTTTTAATATTGCAATATGTTTTATAAAAAGATCAAGTAGGCGATGATTGCTTATATAGGGTGAGCCAAGTCTAACCAAGTACGAAAATTGTTTGCTCCCATATCCTATAAATTTTCGACGTATATCTACTTTCATGTTCATTTAATTAATTAGACTCGCTGCAAACATTCCTGTGTCCGTAAAAGGATAGGAAAACATAACATAAAGCAATACACTCTACTGTTTCAGTTTCGTAAAGTAAACATTACTCCGCACCGAAGGACCATTGTTTAGCATAAAATCACTATCTTGTTGCAACCAGTGCAATTCGAATCTAATAGGAAGTCTTCACGTCCACATGCCCTTTATGCCTCGCTCGGTTCGGAAATTCGAAGCTGCCTATTATTGAATTGATTTTTAATTGGCCTTACATATTAGCTCGCCTACGATTTAAACATATCATATATAGCGCTCCTATTGTCTTATGTCATACTTATTATTAATGTAGTATTAAAATACTAAATAGACACTTTCTATTATCCAAAAAAAATTGTACATAATATATACATATATTTTGTTAATCGTTAATCATCAATCTAAAACAATGTTGAAAAATTAAAATTCAGTGATAATTATATGATGAATGAAACTCTAATATGTTGCTGAAATAATTATAAATTTATTTCTTAGTTTTTAAACAAAAGCATCTTAATCTAATAATTAATAATTCATAATAAAGTAATGAATAATTAATCAATTACTTGAAATAAATTATAGAGTTTTTCATTTCATAAAAGTCCTTCAAAACAATTATTTTAATCAATTCCTAAAATAAATATAATTATATATTTGCAATAATATAAGCTTTAATTATAACAAATTTTCTAATAAACTAAATATTTTTCGTAATACTACTTACTACTCGTAACTATTTTTTTTTAAATATCACTTCAAATTAACTGTGATTATGAAAAGATATTGGTTACAAAGTCTCTTGGCTGAAAAAAATACCTAAAATAGTTACTAGTATTTGTTTGTACAAAAGTGAGCAATCCATAAGCGTTTTTAAAATTAGATGATGGATCATCCGGATATTTGTAAAGTTTTATTTTTGTAAACTAAATGAAAAATCTTCCAAATTACCTCTATTAAAACCAACCTCACTCGAAGTTTTCACGAATACACCTCGACGTCCGTCGTTCCACAACTGAGCGTTTTTAAGACAGTTTTTGCCGCGCACTACTATGTGGAAGCGCCCACTGAAGTATTTCCGAACCAATTCCACTAAGGCTCCTTCAAGAAAAGATCGTACCAATTCTTAAAAGGCGGGCAACGCACTCGCGAGCCCCTTTGGCATTGAGAGTGTCCATGGGCGGTGGTATCACTTAACATCAGATGCCGTTTTGCCCCGTTCTATAAAAAATACAACAAAATTAACTGTATTCATTCAGAGCTTGATATTTTGGTAGCGGACTGATCAATTAAATAAAAGACTTGTTAGGATTAAGTTCCTAATCTGTTAATAAGTGATTATGAACTGCTTATGTAACTTTTTATTTGGAAACGTAATTTTTTTGTATGTAAATGTAATTATGTGTTACAATATACACACATAGACACTTTTATCTTGTATTAATTGGTGTGTAATGATTAAAAGGGTTGCAAAACTACAAATAATTTGTAATAAGATAATTTGAATATATGATAGGTTTCGTTAAATAACTTATAAAGTCCTATATGGTGTTAGCGAATATGAACATTATTATGTCTATGCTCTCCGACCTTCGGCGGCGTCGTTTTAATGAACGTTGCATATAAGAGGATCGAGGTCGTTGAAGCGAGATCGAGATGCATAATGGTTCTATTAAACGAAGGTGTGGGTTACTATCTTTATAAGAGGTTTATAGAATTTATTTCGTTTTAAAACTAGTGGGTGATGATGTTTTTGAACTACTGCACGAGATGAATGCATCTATATATTTTTTTATGAAAATCGGTGGGGTCGCTTTCTTCCTTCTTCTTCTTATATCTAATAGAAGAACAATTTATTCAAAGGTAGCTTATACTAGGTACTATACTGTTTAACGTAACGTAACATACATTTAGGGTGCAGTAATGTTCCCTTGTTATTTACAGGTGAGTTTATTCCATAAGAGTTTTAAAGCTTAAGAGCGGCCAACCCGTCTATCTTTTCATGCAAACGCTTGTACGTGATTATATAGCGTTGTAACAGATGATTTCTTTGAAACTTTTGAACTAATAGGCATCTTGTGCACTACATCTAGGTTTCTATTAAAACGCGAAATCAAAATTTTAAGAAACAAATTCAGTACAAACCTCCAAAAATCAGCCTTTTTGCACAAATTTTTATATGAAGTTTGGGCGTTTATAATGGACTCATTAATTGTAACCGGAAAGAAATATTTGCATAGAAACCTTGCAAATGTAATGGAGTTTCTAAATGTAAAACTTTTTTTTCATAATCTTGTAAGGCTTACGAAAAAACACGTATTTCTTGGAACAAGTTTTATGAAATTTCCGCACACTATTTTTCTTTCAATGTTATCGCGTTCTCACTTGCTGACATTGCGCTGGATGAAACAAGCTTTTTGGCCATGCTCGCGTTGACGTTCGTCGGGGCGGGCGACGGGGTAGGGCGCTCTTAATATTTTATACAGCTCTCAAGATCATTTTATTTTTCATTTAGATCGATAGTATGTGTTTGTCCACAAATTTATCAGAAACTTAAAGACATCGATATAATCCTTAATTTGATTCAGGTATTTTCAAGCTTAGGGAACACTCCAAATTTCATTCAATATACGCTTTGCTAGAAGTGGCAAGTGTAATAGTGGTACCTAAGTAAGTAAATAATGCTATTTGAAAGTAATTATAAGAGCTGTGTTGGTCTAGTGGTGCAATGTGCGACTGTCATCCCTGGGGTTCGATTCCCGGCACCAATATGAGTTCCGTCTATGTGCGCATTTAATACTCGCTCGTACGGTAATCTTTATTTTTATATAGTCATATGTTGTAGATTTTGGGTTTAAGGCATGTTTGCCTCACTATATGAGGAAATGCATACCGCGTGTCCTTCGGGTTGAGCGCGCATAAGCCACAATCAACTCTGCTTTTAGTTTATTATTAGAGCTTTATTAATGAATCCATACAAAAATTGGTTAGCTAACATTTCTAAATATAAGTATTAGTTGTGTTAGTATAAGTTGTGAAACTTTAAGTTTTTTTAGTATTGTATGGTAAAGGGATAAAAGCCTCATCCATATTTTTAATTGTCTTATTTATTTGGGAAACATAACAGATATATTATCTCTATACAATAAAAAAAATTAAACATTAAATAAATACATTGGATGTATCCACAAAAAGTTTCACAAATAAAAAATATGATACGGAGCAAAGCAAAACAAAACATGACAGCATAAAATTTGTTTTGGATAATAGGGATCTTACGTTGAATGTGCATAATTTTAACTGTTATGACGTGGAGCGCCTTTTTTATTTTTGTTACTGTCCTGTTCTTCGTTTTTCATACGTAATAAAGGGTGGTCGCTTTTCCCACGGGGACCAGCCGGATCGGGGAGTATTTTGTTAAGGTGGTAATTGTTATTAGTGTATTTTCTTTGTTCTTATGCTGTGTTTTGTTTTCTTTTTTAGTTGCTAGTTTCTGCTATTACTTATCAAACTGTGCGAAATGTACCTGATTCTATTAATAATAGTTTTGGTAGGTAGCAAGTGGAAAACTACCGGTATTCAATATGAATTTGTATATAATAGAAAAGTGTATCACGACTATTTAAGCTTATGACATTTGAGAAATACATTTATTTATTCATGTGTGAATATTGTTATTTTGTCAGTAAACAAATACAATATAATAATAATAATAATTTTTATTAATCAGACAAATACAGTCCATTGATTGATTAGTAAGTTAGTAACAATAGTTTCTTAAGATCTATGTTAGTAGAATTAGTAAAAATAAGAAAAAAGTTGTTAAATAAAAACTAACATGTACAAAGCCCTGCGGAGATGTCGGAGCAGTGTCGTAAATAGGAGCACTCCATCCTCTCGACTATTATCCGTAAGATGTTGCTGGAGCTGCCCCGCACCCGGCGCACCAAAGACGCGCACCGCTTTCGCATAGTGGCGAAAAAGCAATCCACCCGCGCCTCTGCAAACATTCCTGATGCACTGCAGAAGCGAGGCAACCCCAGCAACACCCTAAATGCGTTATTATACTGCACCCGAAGCGAGTTGTATGTTTGTCGAGTGAAACTGTAATAAGTAATTCAGTAATTATTATAGATATTTAGTACACGTAAATCTACATGTGTTAAAAAATGTGTTTCCAATAAAAAATAAGCGAATTGTATACATTTAAGGAGAAAATTTATATCTGCCTCCTTATAAAGGATTCAATATGTCTCGGTACCTATTTCTGCCATGTGATTTTCAGTATTTAATACTAGGATTTATTTATTGTGCCAAGAGGCTCTTTGAAGATTATTTAATAGAAAATGTAGTCATATGGAAAGTAATCTATTTATGTCTATATCGAGATTTTATAAGGAAAATATTCGTAAATCATTGTCCAATGGTCGCGGTTAGTTTAACAAGATACTTTATAATGAAGTAGTTTTACTTAATGTTCCTTTATTTAATTCGCATACAAAATATACCGTGTGGAAACCAATTACATATTGAAGACAACGTCTTCATAAAAAACAAAGTTTAATAATAAAGACTAGACACTTTGATTTGCACAAACAGCGAAAATGTTTAGTGGAATTGGCAAGTATATAAATGCATTGAGACGTCTAGGCGCTATGCAAGTTCTTGGCAACTCCCAAATATGCATGTCGGAAGACTGCACCAGCGCCAGACTACTCAAAGCTGTCCAATTTGACTTATCAATGCCTGTTGGTAAAAGCGATCCTTCGGAGTCACGTTTAAGAAAATATAAATGGTTTTTAGAATCACCTTACTTTTTAAGAGAAATTATTCTTAAATGGTTAGTTATTAACGTTAATGGAAGCTTATGGGATACACATTATGGCGGCTCAAACTCATTCCCAGGGCGCAATAATCGTAACTGGGTCTTGACTCTCAAATATATTTTCGATTTTGCGTTATGTAGAGTTTTCCACTGGTCACTATTAAATATATTTATTACTAAATATATTTTAAAATAAATAACCAATAAATCAGAATATTACTCATTAAATATATATATATTATTATATTAGATTTTTTTTTAACTGGAACACTATCTATCTCTGGTCATTACAGCGTAAACGCAGTTTGACGTAAAGAGACCTATATCTTTAGTGATCATCTGATACATATTCTTTACAATAACGAAATTCAATAAAATTGCCAGAGTATGAGTTATTGCTTGATGACGAAACAAAGACACCAAGTGATATAAATAATTTTCTCGTTGTTCACAGATCCGTGAGCACTTGGAACCAGCTGAGATAATGGCATCTCTATTGGCTGCTATCGCTCATGACATGGATCATCCGGGCGTGAATCAACCATTCCTGATTGCCACATCCAATCATCTCGCTGCCCTTTACCAGGTAAGGTTGAGTTTGATATAAGATATATGCAGTCGTTTATCAAATTGGTGTTACATAACTTCTTACGCGCGTACATAAGTACACGCACCCTTTTTTTTAAAGAGACAATTCACACCAATTGACCTAGTCCCATGCTAAGCTGGTGAAGATTGTGTTATGGGTACTAGGCAACGGATATACATACATATTATAGATAGATAGACATATAAATACATATTTAAACGCCCAAGACCTAAGCACAACACCAAATGCTCATCACATCGATGTTCGCCTCAGCCGGGGATCGAACCCGGGACCCGTGGATTCGTAGTCAAGGGTACTAACCACTAGACCAATGAGTCGAATATGCACTTTTACAATTTACGAATGCCATCTCAACGAGGTTTCGAGGTGTTTTAGGGTGAGCATGTATGCTCATTCCGGCAATTGAGTCATATAATATTTAAACGTTTTCATTAAATTCATATGTATTGATAAAGTATACAAAAAACATATATTTGTCCTTAGAACACATCGGTTCTGGAGAATCATCACTGGCGCTCAGCGATTAGCTGTCTCATCGAGAGTGGGCTGCTGGACCGTGACGTCCGAGTCAAGCTGGAAAGACAGATCAGCTCTTTGATCCTCGCCACAGACATTACCCGGCAGCAGGAGTACCTGAGCCAGTTTAAGGTAATTATTTTGCTATAAATATTATGTTAGACAAAAGACGGACAGGCCGCACTGGATAATACAACTTAAATTAAAGGATTTTCCATACTTTTTTACATGTTTTTATTATAGTAATTCTATTCTAATGTTGTATTACCGTACCTCTGTTTAGTCAAATAAGGAAATGACTCTCAATTTTTCTATATAATACGTAATTTGTTCAATATCTGTACTATTACGATAATTATACATATTACGGATTCTTTGTGCTGAAGCTACGGAAACAGATGATAGTTAGACTAAAGAGTTAAGACGTCACATCCATTGATAAAACATTTTCTTGAAACGTAGTTACATCTTATACTCAAGAATAATAAATCATAAGGTACACTATAACCCTTCTTGCAATATTGTTTATTTAAATCTGTAACTGAATCAATCGCAAATAAAAAGTTTTATTCGATACTAAACATAACGTTATTATTAAATAAATATGTAAGTATTTACTTTTGTTCTTTTGTTAGCGTAATCGATATTATATTTAAGTTATGAAATTAAAAAAAATCTTTTAAAAATATAGATTTTGTTGCCACACTTTTACAGTGCTGACTACTGTGCTCACATTAGGCTCACATCACGTAGTCATACATCTGAAATTATGATATCAGATAAAATTAGTGTTTAGAAATAAGTGTCTGACCCAGATATCGGATAATTCGAGCATCAATTGTAAGTCCATCAAGGCCCGAACTCCGCGAAACCAGTTTTCATAGTACATCGTGTATTTGTGTAAAATTTAATTAGTACGTCGGACACGTCTATTATTGTCTTAATTATGAAAGTTTTCATTAAGTTGAATATTTCGTCTTTGTTGCGCGCGTGATAATATTCGTAAATAAATATTTATGTAGAAATAATGCGATACTATTTTAAAGACATTTTGATTGTATGCATTTATGTCAGAAACTACTGATTGAAATTAAAAAAAAAATTGTGTTGGGCAGTCTGTAAAGGTAGGTTACATAATGCTACGGCTAAATTGCCTTTCTTACCAGACTGATGTCTGTATGGTGATCGTAACGGTGATCATAAAAATTATATCAGAGAAGCAATATTTTAACTAAAATACTCTTTCGTTTCTTTCTGTCACTTTGCACGGTCAACCGTAACCCGTAAACCTTTATCAATGATATACCTAAATGTAAATGTAAATCCTTTATTTGCCATGATAGTGGTACAAAATAAAAAATCGAACAAGAAAAATCCGCACAATCAGCCATATTTAAATAGGCATGCAAATGTCACAATAAGAAGTCCTAGAGTGTTGTGTTCACAATTACAGAAAAAGGAACCTGGTTTTTAAGTTACTTTTCTAATTTTTCTCTCAAAAAATAAAATAAAAATCCAAAATATAACTCGAATTGGTCCGGCCGTCTGCGAGTTTTGAGCTTAGAAATATAAATATATATTTTTATAATTCATAATAGTTAATCAAATGTTGAAGTTCATGTTGGTAGAAAATTAGAAAAACGGGGAAAGAGATCCAAATTCAAATTGGTAGAATCTCCCCAATAGAAATTAATATGTTAAATTGAGTTCATAGAACCACAAGAGCACTATGATAATTTTAAGATATATTAACTATATGTTCGAAGTTTTTGAAACTAAACAACAAATGTACAATGAAGTCAATAACGGTTTGAGCGTTTTGTTTGTGTGACTTTTGAAATTTTATATTTCATACAATTCAAATTTAGTTTCAACCCTTTATTAAAAGCTTGCTAGCTGCATCCTGTTTTCATCCGACATATGATATGCCTTCGCCGAGTCCATTTTTAAGTTTTAAACTCCCAACCAATATTTCTTGAAATTATAAGATAATTCTAGGTATGAATGCCACGTATAAGGGATATTTGAAATGTCTTTATATTGGTGTCACAGCGACTGATTTAAGAATCAGGTAATGCTAAGATTTTAGCCTCTTCTAGTATGTGTATAAAATTGGTGCACAGTTGAGAGTCAAATACAGTCTCAGTGACCTGGGACTACTACTTACTAGGCCACTAGGCTAATACTACTCTCTGAAATTATGTATTTGGTATTGGTCTTTAATAATTTCAAAATAATTATATTATTACATAGACAAAACTCATCGTAGTTGTTCGGCGTGTGTGTGTATAATTCAAATATAATAACTAACTGTTTTGTATTTTAATAATTAATAATTTAAAATTCCAAATGCATAAAACGAAGATACCGTTTCGACAAATGTTATATGTTATAAATTAATGTTAATAAACAAAAAGATGAAGTACATGTACATATATATATTACTTTTTTCATTTCAAGACGTCAGAAACGTCACAACTTATTCGAGAAAGGATTAACTTAGGAAGCTAATGGAGGTCCATTTCATGATTATGTACAATTATCAAAAAAAATTGTTTCTTAAATTTGACAGATGTTTTAATATCTTATTCAATTGGTGTATTATGGCTTTACTTATGGGCCTTAAACTTCGCCGTCGAAATCTATCTCGGGCTCGGTCCAATTTCGAACACCTATAGTTTGAGGTCCTTGATCACGAAGCTTTGGTCTACTGTATAAACGATTCTATAGTTATAAATCGTCGAAGCCACCGCTGGTTCGGAGAGAACCTAGAAAGATATGTTTAATTTAAATCATATTTTCTTAACTAGCTTTCAACTTTAACATATTATAAAGGAGCTAGACTCTTATCAGTGAAAATTAACAGTACGCGCCATACGCTAAGACAAATTATAGTGTTCTAGTATAGACGGAAATAAAATACAAGGAATGTTTAGGTCCGATTCTGAGCATCATAGAATCAGTTAAGCTGAACAAATATTATTTCAAGTATTTTTTTCAGTTAGTACATCAAAGAAATTGTATATACCCCTATCTATCACCTTAATGTCCGTTGTTTCACAACTGAATGTTTCTTAAGGCACTTTGACACACGCCACCAGTAAGTGGAACCAGCTCTCCGACGAGGTGTTCTAATTCGACTTAGGGTCCACCAAGAAAAGAGGGTATAAACTTTTAAAAGGCCGACAACGCACTCGCAAGCCTTCTGACATTGTAAGTGTCCATGGGTGGCGATATCAGTCAATACTATTTATAAATTAAAAACATAAGTAATAAATATACATTTTCTCAATAACTCAACTTTTTTTATGTTTGTGGAATTTGAAACATGATAAATACTAGAAAATTTTAGCCTTTGAAACTTGATTTTATTTAATATCCGAAATATTTTACATCAAAGCATTTCTATGTTTGTGAAGAAGCGAAATGAAATGAAACTGTCGCGTTCCGTATAAAATAAAAAAGTTTATGAAAAACATTTTCCGCTTTGGAAAAGTTTTAATTATTAATTCACGTAATGTCGTATTCCGATGCAATAGAATAAAAGCGGGAAAAGCACGCGTTGAACTTTTGCGAGAGTTTTTAACTAGATTTTGTCTCCAGCTGAGCACGCGTAATATTTGGATTTGCTGAGCAATAACATTTTTAAGATAATTTATTTACAGTTTTATAATTTGTAGTTCCGTGTAGGTTTTAATTTTATGAATGACTTGGAATATGTAAAAATCATTGAGGTAATAAATTTTTATAATGTGGGTAGTATTAAAAAAACTTGTGGTGCTGCGAGCTGATCTTAAGATCAAGTAGATGATCGCCGTAGCAAGTGACTTAACGATATTTCCTTCACTGTCAAAACATGTATTATTTTTAGAAATAATTCCAAATTAATTAGTGCACAGTCATGGTTTAAACGAACGACCTAGGCGTTGAGAGTCACACGCCTAGCCGACAGGCTAACATTGCTGACTAAATGTTTTGATATATGTGAGAGCTTTGAGATTACAATAGTTAAGTTATATTCCAGTATATGGTTACTATGATATAAATGCAGCATGGGACACAAAATATACATAGCAACAGAAGCCTAAAGCGTTTACAACATTAAGAAAAATTGCAGCAGATTTTTCCGCTGGCCGACAGAAACCAGTTTACCGTAGCTACTTAAATTCCTTATCAGCTACGATAACGTCCGTAGTGGTTAGACGGACGCGTAGCTGGCAGTGCGTAGTTATTAAATACGACACTGCTACGAGGTTCTGATTTTACACGTATTTTTCGAAGCGTCAGGGAAAAATCCATTTGGCTGACGGCACTCAGTCCTTAACATGTTACAGTATATTCACCCTAATTCAATATTTTGCGTAAATAATATTGCGTTTGTAATATAATAATGACAATAGTTTGTATGAGTTACAGGACCACTTTATTACGAGTATAGAAACAAGACTTTACGCGCTAATTGAAAGCACGAGGGTGCTCAAACAACTTTAAAGATTTTGTCTTAATTTTCTTTCGGTTCCACCCGTTAATTTCACTCGAAACTGCATTTTCTGCAGTTGAACATTCCTCTAGTCCAGTGAAACGAAAATTCGCACGGCCGCACCCTTTCCTTATTTTAGTCAGATAAAAAGATATCCATTCAATTTAAAAATATCTTATAAACACGGGTATTTTACGGGTTCGTTTGATCTCCCATGTTTGCCTCTGTCGACGCCCAAGATGGATAAATATATATTTAATTGCCCGACTTCAACAACATACTCGTTTCACGTGCAAATATTAGTACTTTATTTACACCGTGGCGATGAATTTTTTGGAGGATGTTGATGTAGGCAACGAATAATATTGCATTCAGTCTTATTATATATTGAAGTCGGTTCCTCGCTATGCAATACTTGCATTAGTTTTCGTAGCAGGTTTGAGCACAAATTTACACAGTTAAGTTACGAAGCTAGGACTATTTCACGAGGCACCTAATATTTTAAATTTCATTAGTGACACCCGAAGTGTGCAATGTGAACATACAACTGGAACGTGTTCATTATGTGGAGAAAGGTTTACGTGTATTTTGATCGCTATTAATTAACCCGTTCATACTGAGTTATTTGTAGGGCGTGCTCGGAACCTATCGAATTTCACTTACAAGGAATAGAACATAGAAAATATAAAACGTTTAGCTACAATTGAGAAGATTTGTACTTTAAATGTTGTTATAAAATAAATTTTTGTGTCAGTGATTAACCTACGCGATGTATGTTTTAAGTTGGGAGGGTCGCCATATAAGGACGATAGAAATAAAATAGTTGAAATATAGCTGAAACAAAGTAAAGTTGATAAAAGCCGAGGTTTGATTTTTATGTCAATCGCCGATACTCGTTACATAGTATTTTTAAATTATTAAATGCTGGTGGTAATAGATAGGGAACATTCAATTGTACATTACTTAACTAGCTAGCCTATTGTGGTGTTGTATTTAATGCGTATTACTTAGGTGCAGTCGATACTCAGCGAATAATTGTGTTTCGGGAAGTCCAGATGCTGTAGGTTGTATGTAATATTTTGGAAATATTCAGTAATTTAAATATTTATTATGTATTATTTATCAAAGTTTTTACCAAAGATAAAACTCATATCGATACAACACTTCAAAGACGGATACATTTGTTTGAGATATTTTTATAGTGATTTAAGTTTTTGTAAGCACAGTTTGCTTTAGTCGTGGTGACTGTTTGGTAACCTTTAAAAAAGATATCAAATTATTATATTTTATTTGATATAGGCAATAGGGCCCAATAT